TTCTAAAATTTTAAAATATTAATTGTAAAACTTTATTTTTTAATATTTTAATTTTAAAACAAGTTTTAAAAGAATGTAATTTCCTTTGGAGTGACAAGCCACGACTGCTCTGTATCCCAGCATAAATACCCAATGGTGTGCAAAAGTATTACTCTCAGCTCAAGAACACAGGCATATGTGTATTACTTCATTTGGGAGGGCACAAGGCATGTGAGAGTACGTGCTGGGACAGCTCCAAAGAAACAACTTGGTGCTTGCTGCCAGTCAGGTATCCTGGCTCTCCGGTCCATGTTTGACTTTTCCAGAGAACTACCAGGCTCATTCCTAAAGAGTCTGGGTGAAAATCAATGTGCACTGTACATGCTCAGGAAGCTAATGCCTCAAGACATAAAGGGGTAACAGTTCTGACAGTAGAAATCCATGTACAACCTAAAAAATCACTCCAAACCTCTGATTCATCTCTCTATTACATGTTCATTCTACCATACCATCCTCTTGTTTTAATGCCATGAGACTTGAAATCACTTTACATGCCCAAGTTCATGTTTCGCTCTCATTGTCTAGAACATCTTGGTTCTGGATGCAAGAGATGTGGATTGTCCACCTTAGAGAAATGCATGTGTCAGATAAATACAGAAGCTCAGAGATTTTTCAGGCTTGTCATTTTAATGACCCAAAGACATCAGGGCAACATATATGCCAGCAGAGAGAGTACGATGAAAACAGGGATACTAAAAATGTATGTATATATGTATGATTCCCTATGTCCTTGTTTCTACTCCTAGATATGATATCCTCCAGGCTACAAGTACACACATATTTCACCCTTAAAGGAGGTTTAGAGTTTTATTTATAGGACTGTTAGTATGCACTTTGTCTCCTCTAGCTGCTTTGACAAAATACTTGGACACAAAGGGATCAACAAAGGCTCAATATCTGATGTAAATAGGATTACAGCAATGGTTTAAAGGCAAAAGGAGAAGGAAAGCCATTTGTTTCCATTTTTAGAAGGAGTTTGGGATGAAATGGACTGCACGCCAAGATATGATAATTTTGTGTTGAATGACATGCAAACCTTCCCTTCCTGCTTGGTTTATAAGTAGGGGTACATATTTTCCCCAATAATTTCAGTTTCCTCCTTCTTATACTATCTAAAAAAATCAAATCAGAAAAATGGTATATTTCCCACTGAAGATAGCTGAGTATTTCTGCCCAGGGACATTTTCAGTGAAAACTCTAAATGTTTGTGGAAACACTTGTTTTGATGTGGGGGGTTTTTAAGGGAAAAAAAAGTATGAAACAAATATACCTTCTTTTGACCATATATATTGAATAGATTAATTACGTCTATTTCTGGGTGCTACAAAGGTGGTGCTATGTAACTTTTTCCTGCTTTTCATCTTTCCCTTTCTGAGTTTATTTTTTCATACTTCATGTAATCTCTTATTTCAGTGCAGTGGGGTTCACTCAAATAAAACAGTAATCAGCTGGTTACAAAACAGTGCACATCTGTCTGCTAGAAGTTATGACCTAAAATATTTAATTAAACACCACTGCTGTTTTTCACATCTTTGTTGGCTTTGCTCCCTGATCAGATCCTGTGTTTTCTCTAGTTGTTCTGAAGGACTGTTTACAGCATTCTATCAGTGAGCACTACCAAAAACCAGAGGAACAACCTCAATGCTTTGTGATTGTACAAGAGCATACATTTAATGTATTCTGTAAATTTAATCTTCATGTCACTGTTCTAGACTATTATTCAAAATCCTTTATTATATTTAGACTACCCTTACCTAAAATCAACAAGCAACTGGTATGATATAGTTGTTTATGATTATTCTTAACTATCGGGTAAAGTGAAAAATAAGTAAGTAGACTATACTGTCAAAACCCTCCCAATAAAAATGTTTAAACTGCAAAGAAATGCATTAAAATGTGATATACATGATAATTCTAAGTATTCTTTTAATACTTTACTTCACAGATACCACTTCTTTTGAAAGATTGACATTCTATAAGCATATAGGGAAATTATGTTCTAAAACTGGAGTTAATGAGTTATCATGATAAATTTTTCGCTTTTAGTCTCAATGGAATTAAGGTTGAAGATTTACTCAGTGACCTCTAGGATATTATTTTTAACTGTAATGATTATAGTCACAAACTAGATAAAGCCTTACAAAAATTATTTCAAAGATACTATAATAATTATCCTTTTAAAATAAACATATCCATTTGGGTAGATTCAATTTACATATTGAGGATTCTTGTTTTATTTAGCAAACCATATCAGAGGTACCACAGCTGTTGTAAATGATGAATTGCATATGTCCACACGTTTATTGTAGCTTTTGATGCAGTGGCCATAAGATTTTGGGAAGGCTCTTACTTCACTGTATTTGACTTTGAATCAGCATGATTGATGATAGTTGCTGTTTTCCATCAACGGGGCCAGTTTTGAAAGCCTGAAGGACCTATACCTGTAGGATGCTTGGGAAAAGAGAAAGACAAGAAGTGATGGTTAGATGTTTTTTTGCCATCCTGCTCTGAACTGCAATTTGTTCAAGTCAGTCTTTCTATGTCCTTACTTCATCCTTGCTGTCTCCAATCCTCTAGTACTTCCTTTACTTCCTCTTCATTCACCTCATGGTTCTTGCCCAGTCCTTTTTAGTGGTATATAATATCCATGAGTGGTAGACAACTGGTTTACGAAGGCACACACAAAATTATTCTATCATCTCAGTCCTTTTACTTTTTAAAAGGTTCATACATGTTTTAAGAGAAAATGAATTTTAGATACAACTTTTCAGCTTAGTTAAAAAAAACACAGAGATAATGAAACAATATATGTAAAAATAAACTGAAAGTCCAAATTATTACAGGATAGGGAGAAACTAGGATCCTATTCTTATTTCATATTAAGCAGTTTCCTTGCCTATAAAGAAGAATACACAGAGCCGGATACAAGGATTTTTTCCTAAGGGACGACTATGAATGTTAAAAGAATAATATGCAATATTTTGAAGCAATAAATCAAGGAGAGACACCCTAAAATTTATTCTGCCACTATCATCAATGTCAGAAGATATCAAAATCCTGATGGAAAAGGAAGGCATCAGTGGATGGAATATTTTGAGCAAATGAAGCCTGGTGCCAAGGGAAATTACAGACTTTTCCAAGTATGTCACCCTCACAGTCATGAAGCTTTAGCCCTTCAGAGAGAAACCTGAAGTTCAAGTAATATATATAGTCAATGTACTTTAACTTAAGTGTATTAGATTCTCAGCACTGTGATCATTAGGCTATCCCCCACAAAAGTCATTTGTATATAATTAATTATCTTTGTTTATACAATCGCGTTGAATATATTGTATAGAAAGAAAAGAAATGGTTCATAAGATTTAGTGAATGCTAAATTATTTAGTAAAGACAGGTACATCCAGGAAGGACTTAAGTTTATTTACATTCAAGTGCATCTTCCATACTTACCAAGTTCAACCCAAAATTAACCAGGAAGTGTCAGTCAGTGGGAATTTATCTGACAACAGGGCTGCTGGGTAAATTAAGGAAAAAAGAGATGGATTAGTGTTGCCTAGAAAGATTTTATTTTATTTTATTTGGAAAATTAAAATCTTAAAGCTGTGAGAAAAGTGTGTTTAGATTTCCTTTTTAAAGAAATGCATATGTAAATTAAGTTTTAAGGATGTCCATCTTAAGCTTTATTACAAGGAGATCACTATTTTTAAATTAAGAATGCTTCTTTCTCTTTATAAATTGTACTATCAGTCTAAAAAACATTACATTAAAAAAAAAAAAAAAGTTGAATTATTAGTTAATTTGGCCTTCTGTTTGTTTTTGGTTTTGTTTGTTTGTTTATTTTTCACCAAAAGTACCTGAGATATTACCTGATTTTCAGGTAAATTTGGGATGTGGATATTTTCCCCTTTCAAATATCTTTTTTTTGTGATGTCTGAGAAAATCCTGATTTCCAAATAAGTTTCAACTGATGAAACTTTCTGCCAGTCCTCTGACTTTGACTTTGGGTGACACCTTTGTTGAGAAGATGAAAAGAGAAAAAATAAACACCATTATAATTTACCCATCTGGCATAAAGTTAAGGCCACCGTTATCATTGCTCTGATTGCTGTGTCTTGGTTTTCAAGGGGGGTGAAGGGAAAAAAAAAAAAAAAAAAAGAAAGAAAGAACCTTTGAACAACTCTACGAAGACTGGTAATGTGTGGGTCATCACCTGCCAATGTGGAAGGTTGTGTAGTATTTTACAAAGATCAAGGTGTTGACTCAAAAACTTTTTAGTATCTGCCCACAAGTGTACTCTTTAGCCAGATGCTGAGCCCCTTTGAAATATTTAGATTCATTTGGTCATGTCAAAGATGCTATATACCCTGCATAATAATTTTCAAACAATGCCCTATCCTATGGAATGGTCATATGTGAGAAAAAAATTAGGAATGAACAGAATGAATCGCAGTAGTTGATATGAGGTGAATAATGTTTTGGTTGGCCAGAGATGGCAGACATTTTTTCACCTGACAGTTGTTTTTAAATTTTGAATTCTAACTTCATCCAAATGAAGCCAGCAGTGTGCCCAGGGGGCCAAGAAGGCCAATGGCATCCTGGCTTGTGTCAGCAATAGCGTGGCCAGCAGGGACAGGGAAGGGATCTGACCCCTGGACTCAGCACTGGTGAGGCCGCCCCTCGATTCCTGTGTTCAGTTTTGGGCCCCTCACTACAAAAAGGACATTGAATGACTCGAGCGTGTCCAGAGAAGGGCAACGGAGCTGGTGCAGGGTCTGGAGCACAGGTCGTACGGGGAGCGGCTGAGGGAACTGGGGGTATTTAGTCTGGAGAAGAGGAGGCTGAGGGGAGACCTCATCGCCCTCTACAGCTACCTGAAAGGAGGCTGCAGAGAGCTGGGGATGAGTCTCTTTAACCAAGTAACAAGCGATAGGACAAGAGGGAATGGCCTCCAGTTGCTCCAGGGAAGTTTTAGACCAGATATTAGGAGCATTTCTTTACAGAACAGGTTGTTGGGCTTTGGAATGGGCTGCCCAGGGAGGTGGTGGAGTCCCCATCCCTGGAGGTGTTTAAGGGTAGAGTCAACACAGCGCTGAGGGATATGGTGTAGTTGGGAACTGCCAGTGTTAGGTTAATGGTTAGACTGGATGATCTTCAAGGTCTTTTCCAACCTAGACAATTCTGTGAAATGTTTAAATGTTATATGCTTCAGTGACAATCGCCAGAGGGAAAAAGCTGAAATAGAAACATTAATCTCTTGACACCTTGGAATACAAACCTATGTAGTTGCATGGTGAATAATTTAGTTTTAATTAACTTGGTATTTTATTCTGGCATATATTGTAGCATATAGAAAAACAAAATCCCCAAAATCTTAGAACCCCATTGAGTAGGTTTATAAATGCCTTGGGTTGAAAATTTTTAATGTAACTTTAGATTTTTCTGTAAAAATATATTCACTTGATTGAAAAAAATTGAGAAAAAAGTTTTATTTTGAGCCAAATTATAATAAAAAACCACTTTCTTTACAGAGAAGAAATTCTGAGATTGGCCCAGATCTGATTTCAAAGCTCAGCTGAAAAGTTTTGTTGGAAGAAGGTGAGATCCTCTGACACCAGGTAACTCCATTTACTCTTTCTGTCCAACGTTTATCATCCACCTTTCCACATATTTGTTTGGCTTTGAAGCAAATTTAACATCATCTTACAGCATCAGCTATTTTTACCACCTGCTTATAGCACTAATCCTTACAAAACACCAATCTACCTGTAATATTCCATTATTTATGCTTCTATGCAATGAAGAAACATAGAAATATGAAGAATTTTCCTAATGGTTGCAAAGGCAACCATTGCAAATGAGACTTGTACAGATCTGCATAAACCACAGGGACAACAGTTTCTGTGAGCCACAAAGTGAGCCAGGTCACACTAGTGGCAATTAATAACCATCCTGAATAATTTTATCTGAGCTTCAAGTGGTTTGTGTTTCTTCTGCAACAGCCTGCAGGAACTCTAGCACAAGGAGAATGATTGCTAAGTGCTGGATCAGGATCACAAAATGTACTTTTCTAGCAAGGTTAAATGAAAACAGAACTAAACCAAGTGTATTTCCTTGGCATTCCGTCAGCCTTTGGGACTGAGAATTTATGAAGTGACAGCCTTGAGACCCAATTTGGATTAACAGAAAAAACAAGTGCAGTCTGTGAAGAATTTTGTCCTCAGTGAATTGCCAAGATTTTGTCAATGGCTAAGATTTCTCTCTAAATACTAACAATTAAAGATATCTTTGTTGGATTTTACATCGAGTCTTTGCTGAAGTGGGAAGGTATCTGAATGCTGTCACTGCGTTTTGGTTCACCTTTAATATTATCTGCCTGATCCTTTATGTTATGATTTTATCTTGATGATGAATTTTCTTTTTATATCACATAGAGAATGTGGTAGAGAATTAGTGTCAGCTTACCATTTAACCTCTTCCTGTCATTCACTCCTATAGCCATTTCTTTCCAGGTTGCTATTTATCACTGTGATATTTCATTTTGACTTCTAAACTTCACATATATATCGAAAATTAGATGTTTTATTCTTTAAATAAAGAAACTTCCAGCATGACCTCTGTGACAGGCTGTGGGTGTGCATCAGTTCCTAAACTCTACTTTGCATTTGGAAATTGTCAGAAATTCTTTTATGAAGGATTGGGTTTTTTCAACAGAAACTGTCAGTTTGTTGAAATTTAAACTTTCCATGGTTCAAGTTTCAGTGCCAATATAATCAAGAGGATTTCCTCAACTAAGGATAGAAATTTCTAGCTACGATCAGAAAAAAAATAATTGCAGAAGTAGGTTGCATTGACAGCAGTTAAGGAACACTGCAGAGCCATGTGAAGTCAGGGTTCAAATCTCTTAATCAATGATTATTCAATTATGTAAACATAAGTGGATGTATTTCAAATAGAGATCTCAAAGCACATGAGAGAGATGAGCAATGAGACTGAAATTCCCACTTGATTTTGAACTTGACTCTCATATTCTTGTACCCACTCTGCTACCAAGGAGTCCTGCCAAAGCCTGTAGCCATCTCTGCAACTGTCTCACTTGGACACCTACAGAACACACAAATATGCAAGTGCATGTCACCACTTCTGTGAGAAGACAGCTGGATTACAATATATTTCAGTGATAATTGCGAGATATTTCACAGCACTCAAATGACTGTATAAAGTGATTGCCCAAACCATATTCTTTAAATTTATAGCTCTTCAACATGTGCGCACAAATGGGTTTCTGTGAGATAATGGTTTGGAGTTTTAGTACATTAGTTACTCTTTGGAAAGTCTTTTTGTTTACACCATGCTATATGTGAGACACTACACTTTCTGCAGAGTAATTGTACAAAAATTCTGCACAGTTATTTTTTCTGCAGTCCATAGTATGGTTTGGTTTCTGTGTTTGAGTGTATTTGTATGTATGAATACATACACATACACTTACATACATATGTGTGTACCTATGTGTATATATATATATATATATATATATATATATATGTACACATGTGCATGAGTTTGTGCAAATACACCAAAAGATGACAGTAAACATTCAGGATTTCACAGTCTGTAGAGATTGGTTTCACCATATCTCTTCTTTTTATTCACAGAGACATTGTGATTATTGCAAGTGTATGGAACAGTGAGTGTTAAGTTCTCTATGACGATACCTGTAACCTCAAGGCAGATGCAGAGAACAAAGCAGTATCGGGGGATGCTGAATGGAATTTTTCTTCTTATAAAGACAGCTATTGCCTTTCACCTTGAACAACTAACAAGGTTTCGACAAAGGTCTTTAGCCTGACATCAGCTTTTAACTCTTTTCTGTCCTCTTTGCTGAAACCACCTCAAACCAGGTATTGACTCAAAGCTGAAATTTAATGAAGAGTACTGCTCAGTACAGTGAACTCCAGGAAGTGTGACGCTCAATTATGAAGAATTTGCAGTACCATAGAGGATCAAGAGGACAGATGTTTCTTCATGACATTCATTATACTTGGTATTCCTCACTTCACAACAGCCACCAAAAAAACTTCTTGACTAAACAGTACTAGGACCATTGATATTTAGTGTCCCTGTGGCCTCTTCTTGTACATGCTGGATTCTTGCTTTATCTCATTTTCATTCATAGAAAAGGTTGTGGAAAACAACATAACAAATGATGCTGCCAAAAAACTGAAATAGGACAGTTCTTTTGGACAATACGCACCTTAAAAAAATTTTAAGTTCTTTAAAATTCTCCATAACTGCAGAAGAAAGTCTTTTTCTTTTTAGTGTTGCTAGTAGCATCTGTTCACTTTTACACAGGTATATTATTGGTCAGAGCTCTCAGCTGTGAGTAGATCCAGTTCCCTTCTTTGCTTGGGAGGTTGGGATGTCACTCAAGACAACCTATCATTTTGATAGAAGTAATAGAGGAACGGGAGTTTAGTGTGTCAATTCAAGCTGTAGCAGCTTGCATAGAATAACGGACAAGTAACTGGCCACCAAAACCAAGCTAAACCGAACCAAAACCAAAAACGAAAAAAAGTATCTCTGTAACCTAGTTTTTAAGGGACTGTGTGTGTTGAGTGTGAACCATTGGATCTGCTCTTCGTTTCAGTGATAATTTAAATGTAGATAACTTTTTGTTATCTATCTATCCACTGGTCATTTATGGAGCACTGACCAGAACACAGGCTTCCTCAAGGGAGTTCCCAACTATTAAGTCAGAAATCCATACTCACCAATATGATTTCTAACCTGATTAAGCTTTGATTTTTGCTTGCCAAGCACAACAGTTGAAAGACAAAGGATAAAGAATAACTTACATTCCTGGGTCCAGGAGCCTGACAGATAGGCAATTCCTGTAAATTGAAAGAAGTCAAGTAGACACTCTTTAACTGTTAGAAGGAATAGATACCCATCTCACGCATGTAACATGATTTTTTTAATTATTCATCACTGAAGCATGAGAAAGGACAGGTTCTGGTCTCAAGCAATCAACATTATCGATACTGGCTGTGTTTTCAGAGACCTTTGCACAAGGGCACACTGCATGTATCACACCCAAAGTCTCTATATGTCTTCAGTCTTCATGATATCTGTATGTGTTATAGATTTGGAATGAGTCTATGAGTAACAGGGCTCTCAGAAAATAAAAAGGATATAATGATTTAGAGGAGACTGTATGTCTCCAGATTTAGTGCTCTTTGATTAGACATAGTTCTTTGGGTAAAGAAGCATTTGCACTCTTTAAGCAAATCCAACTATCAGGACAATAATTTACAGGTATGTCAAATGATAACATAGAAATCTGTTCAGCTTTTGCAGAACATTTCACAGATATTCTGTAGACATAGAACCAAGTTCTTCAAACTAATAGTGATAATTTAATTAGAGACATTTTTATTTCTCATAGAGAAAACACTTGATTTCTTGGAATTGATTTAATCTCATTTAGGTGCTATCACCTCTGATCCTCTGATATTACATTTGAGGGTCAGAAAACAGTACAAAAGCACCAATTTTATTTTGTGTCCAACTGATTCTGTCTTTCTTTGAAATTACTGGCCTGTTTATGTGGTATGAATCTGTGGATTTCTGCTGATTTAGGAGAAATTACATTTACACCAACGCTGAATACCTCTGACAGAAGCAGGTGAAATATTGCCTATAAAGCATACTTCTCATGTTATTTACAAACTTTTGTATTCCCCCCAAAACCAACTGCAAAGATATTTTCAAAGCCTGTTTTCCCCTAAGTGTACATTTGCTTTCAAAGTATCTACATCAAACACAGTCTTTGTAAACATTTTCAACCATGTTCAGTCAGCATGAGAGAAGCAGAGAATGTTTAAAAAAAATAAACGACAAAAAGTCACCACATGCATGTCAGGTAGGCTGTTCCATTAAAGAGGAAGCAAAGGACTTGAAATTTCAGCCTACATGAGTCTTCAGAGAAGAAACACACTGCAGTGTTTTTCAATTTGAAGACAGTAAAGTGAAGGGAATAGATTATTATAATTTGGATTAAGCTTG